CTGAAGCACATCATTTATACATTAAAACATCGTGCTAACTGTTAACAATGAATATATTATTACCATTGTATATATTATTTTATATATTAATACCATATATATTATTATTGTATTTATTTATAACTTTATTTATAAATATTTTAAATATATGTTGTAATACGTAACGATCTTTGTATTCAACATCGTTTAAATGTGAAAAATTAGAACACAGTAATGTTTGAAAACTGTTAAAGATAGAGCTGTTTTTTCTGTTTTATGCAATTTTTTCTGATGAGGGCCTCTGAAATACGGCCGAAAACATTTGAACATTAAACCTTTTTTATTGTTCGTTTGCTGGAATTATCGCTTAGGTGTGAAGTGGTTGTTTTACTGACTACTAACAATATTTCATATTTTTTTTGTCATTAACTCTTTATAGTCCATTAATACCTCAATTTTAATATCATGCATTTTTTATAATGCATTTTTATTGCATTTCTTAATAATGCTTTTTTAATAATTATATATTATTTATTAATTATGCTATGCATAGCCTGCATTCAGGTTTACAATGACAAGAGTAAAATGAAAAACTAAAGACAAAAACTGTAAATGTGTCAATTTTATACTTACTATTTACTTACTATTTTAAGCTTGTTTACCTTTCTAAAAGTTCTGCTTTTGTTCTTGTTGTCTTGGCTCCTAATTCTTTTAATTTCTTTCTTAATTCAACAACTGTTACATTCTTTAAATCAAGTTTTTTATACGCAGATCAAAACTTTTTGCTCAGTTTCTACTATTTTATACACTACTGGAACTTAAATATACATCAAGTTGACTCTAGCACCATCAGTGATGAGATTTAAACTGTATATTTCTGCCTGTTGTTAATGTGACAATGCGCAAAGTGCCCCCTATGTTTTGGCACCATGGGACCGAAGAGTTGGCACCACGTTTGTGATGACTAGTTTGTCAGGACTGACACCACTGTGTCTTTTAGGCAGACACAGAAGCCATGTTGGTGATAGTTTCAGTTTTTCGCGAGCAGGTGCATTATATGCACTTAGTTCTGACTCAAAAGATGGCATGGGCTTTGGAAGTGCACCAAACACAAATTTAACAATAACAAATTTCCATTTATTTACTGTAACTACCTAAATGTATACAAGTAAGACTAATATCTCACATTTAAAGCTTCTTCCTCAATGTTAACTAGTTCATGAGTTTGCAGTTGGAGAGAGAGAGAGAGTTTACATATAAGGTTCATAGATACCTGGTAAGGGATCTGAGGTGGCTCGAAGGCTTGATGGAGTTCACTTTAGAAGGAGTTCAAGCAGGTTGGAGGAAGGTCACTAAGTTATCTGATCATTGAGGCAACTCTGACTAGGATGAACTTTCAGTGGCGATGGATTCTCGGACAAATGAACTGTCCCCTCATCGGTGGACTAACTCCTGGTAAGATGGATGAACTGTTGTCATCATCAGTTATTGCCTTTTATTGGGGTCCTCCCTCTTTTCTCTAATTACCCTTTTTTGGCAATGTTGCAGCGCCTATGTCCAATAAAAATTTCTTGTTGCCAAGTTCCTGGCGACACATTTCATGTAACATCTTGAAAGGGAAGTGACTCCACAGAGGAATAAAATCATATCTTTTACAATTTTAACAATCTTGGGAAAAATTAGAGAAAGTTTTAAAATTCAAAATCAATCCTGGACTTTCACATTAATTAAAAATTTTAGTTTTAAAATTTATCTTTTAAAGATTAAAAATAGTAATTCATTAGAAAGAATATTCAATAAAAAACAGCTAAATAGGTTGTTATAGTAAATGTTTGCTAATCATTTTATGTTATAATGCATATACTTAGGGTTACCATATAATATCTGAAAGGAGTCTTCCATTTTGACTTTAAAAAACATTCCCCTCTATTCAAACACATCAGACATTTGGAAATGAGGATATTGGTAATGTCTTCATTTCCATTTTTCTTTTATTCATAATTTTTATCTGGTAAACTTATCCAATATCCTCATTTCCAAATGTCTGATGTGTTTGAATAGAGGGGGATGCTTTTTATAACATGAATATTAACATGAATTTATATTTATATTATATTTATTTATAACATGAATTTATAACATTATAACACGAAAAATGATTATGAAACATTTACTATGGGTATCCGACTACTGGTGTGAGAGACGAATTTTGAGAGATAATTCATTTTTCGTCTTTCAAAATAAATGGATTCCAGAAAAAAAAATTTTGTTTTCGATTTTATTACCGAAGGACGATCACATCTCTCTCCTCAGAGTCGTTTCCTTTCCCAGGGAATTCATCAAATGTGTCACTGGAAACTAATAGCACAAATTCATAATTGGTGAAAAAGGATAATGTGGCTTGAGGATATAAAAAGGAGTGACTCAAGGATGAGGGGTCGTCGAGAGTCCAAGAGTTCACCAATCCGACTTCCTTTTTTTTTATGTGAGTGCTTGATTGCCGACCGCTTCTTCTGCCTTTTCTTGATCTCTTGATCGCTGCTCTGATCCTGTTGCCGTTCCCGAATCTGACAAGCTGACGAATTCCCTTTGACAACAACAAAGAGACTGAGACGTTGCCACCTCTACGATCTTCGATCAACAACACAACAATCAAGCCACTGATCAAGGTATTACAAGTAATATTGTAAGCTCTCTCTCTCTCTCTCTCGGCCAGGAAACCGTTAACCTCAGATGACGCTATATAACTATAGATACTTTAACTCGCTACTAGAAAGCTAAACAGAATTCTCAGTTACCTTGTGTACATGTGTAAATATTTATATAAATAAATGGGTATTTTCGTTCTAATTATGTAGTAGTGTGCACTTTTTCAGATCCACCATCTCTCAACACTCCTCCATCCCAAATCCGATTGCCTGTACACTTGACCACTTCTTAAATTTGGTTTTTTCTAAAGTTTGAATCGCATTCGTTTAGTTTTGTTGTTCCATTCTGCATACGTTAGAATTCTGTATAACTGTAGCCTGATGAAGACCCAGATTGGGTCGAAAATGTTCGCTGGTGTGTAAACACATCACTGGAGTTACAAAGGTTTTTTGGATGTGGTGACTCGATCACTCGTGCAAATTCTGAAGTTGCGGTTTCTGTGTCTATCTTAGAAGACACTACAGCTCTTCGCTCAATTTCAAACACCAACAACAATGGCTACAGTGTTACCACCATTCAGAAAATGCTTATCAGTAATAACCGCCACCATAACATCACCCTTAACTGGGTCTGTGGCCACTCTGGGGTGGAGGGAAACGAAACAGCTGATGCTCTCGCCAAAAGAGCTGCGGTCTCGTCCCTTCCTTGTTCTTAGAGTAAGATACCGCCTTCCACTATCCATAAATGGATCTATAACCAAATTTTGCAAACTTTGCAAGAAGACTGGAACAACTGCACTACAGGCAGTCCCATTAGTGGCTTCATTCTAGACATCTCTGTCAGGCTGAGTTGCAGGCATTTTGTTCCCAACTTTGCCCTGACTCAAGTTTTCACTGGCCACAGGAACTTCAATGCTTACCTCCACCGGTTCCGGCTACGGGACAGTGAGACCTGTAGGTGCAACATGAACACCAAACAAGACTACCTTCACTGCTGTTTGACTGCCCACTCTTTGACAGCAACAGAGATAGACTCATTGAGGCTGCACTTTGTAACAACCATAACTGGCCGTGTCCTCTACAAGCCCTAATATATGAGAAAGACATGTACAATCATATGAATAATTATCTGCAGAGCATCAGTGCTTAAAGAGAGGACAAGAAACACTTAGTCAGTGGCTGTACCCTTATAGTCATGCAAATCTACTGAACTACAATGTTAACACCACGCATTAATAAAAATCACCGTCTATGCTTTTAGTGTAACCCAGGAAATGTCAACTGAATATACATTTGTAACCTATGAATTTGTTTGGGCTACCTGTAATCTGACACCTAGCACCCACCCTGTTTCTAGTTTACGCACTGTTAATTCTGCATATTGTACATATGTTTGTCATCTGTTTTTATGTTTGTACTATCTGCGATTTGTCAAACAGCACTCAACTACTTTGTACCAATATTAATCTGCATACTGTATTTACGTTCACCTATTAATACGTTTGTGCTATCTGACGTTGTCACATAGCACTCACCAGGTAACTATTGTACTATTGTTAATCTGCATAATGTACATTCGTTTGTCATCTGTTATTATGTTTGTACTGTCTACGATTTCTCAGACAGCTCTCAACATGTAATTTCTTGTAACAATATTAATCTGCTCACTGTATTTACATTATTACCTGTTCATATGTTAGTGCTGTTTGCGATCTGTAACGTGGCACTCCCAACCTGTATTCCTCTATGACATTCTTGTTATCGTTATTGTGTTTTCTGCTGATCTTTCCTTATAAAACACCGTCATGGGACGCCCATGGATCCCAACCCTTTTCTTTTTATCCCTTTCCTTTCTCACCCCCACCCCATCTTCTCCCTTTCTCCATAACACAGGTTGTACCAAAGGGTGATACCTGCTTACTACTACTACTACTACTACTACTACTACTACTACTATTATTATCCTAGAAGACACAGTGTACTGACGAGGCACTGAAGAGGTGTCAACCCTCTGGTCACACTGATGTACTTGATTGTGATTACTTATGTTAGCAGCTCTGTACTAGATATCTGGGTACAAAAATGGATGCCTGACATTAAATATTAGTAAATATTTACTCATAAAAATATATTATGTAGGATTTAATCTACGATTATTTCTAAAAGAATAAATTCAGAATAATAACTTTGACTTAAATTGTGATGATAGCAAAACACAAATTTTTATAAAATTATGTTTTTGTAAATATGTGTCAATTATTTACTCAAACCTATCTAATTTGTTCATTAAAAGTTATAAAATGGTCTAATTATCAAAGAAACTTAAATAGTAAATTATTTTCAAATTATGACAACATAAATTTATTTTTTCAGCCTGGTAACTTTGTATTAGCTATAGCTGACAAGGATAAAGAAAATCCTCCAATTTGGAGAATAGAAGGCAAATCATTGCTTCAAAGATTTGAACCTTTCAATGCGGATGGACGTATACTCTATCGAAATGCTTCTTCGGTAAGAATATAGAGATGCAAACATTTCAAGAATATATAATAATTTTAAACAATAGTGTTTAATAAAAATTGTTATTGAATTTTAATAGTATTCAGCTTGGAATTCTACAACCATTTATAAATATATTGGTGTGAACGTGATATTAGTTACACATAATCGTGTTTCTTCAATTGTCGAAAAGTTGGGTCCAATTACTCCAGAAGAGCAAGAAGGGTAAGAAATAATCTTGAGAATTTTTAAAACTCATTAGTGGATTTTAATAATTTAAATAATTCTTAACTGAAACTGAGTGTTATCATCTTGCTCTTTCAGTAAATTGTTATAAGTACTTTGATTGTTGACAAATTTTTACAAAGTTATTACAGGTAGTCCTTGGTTTACGCCGGTTCAGTTTATGCCGATTCACAATAACGCCGCTGCGCAATTTGCCGTTTTGCGGTGTAATTCCCCGATTTTCCCTATACTAGACTGATTTTCATTTCAGTGTTGACGTATTTACCGAGCCGTCACATTGTACATTCGTTAAAACAAAGATTTTTATTAAATATATTTATTTTTTCTGTTTAATATTATTGGATATGTATACATTTGCATTAAATTAATATTAAAATACTAAACGTTTAGATACCCACGAGTCAAGATATTAAACTTAATAGTCCAATAAATGGCATTCAAATCCATAGCGCCAATGAATGTATCCCGTATCAGTTCATTCAGGAAAACACCTTACGACGCAATAGCACTTCTAGCGATCACAAATTATCGTTAGTGAGACAAATCTACTTCTCGTTGGCCAGACGATATTTATCTCTCCTTAACCACCTTGAATTTTCCCGCTCAAACTGACCTTATATATACGCTACGGCGGCTGGTGATTGACCAATCAGTGTCTTTGCTTGTCTGTAGCTCTACGTCGGGTTAACGTATCCTTTCAACTAAGGAAAGTTTGACGGATGAAGTTTGTGAGTTAGACAATGTTGGGAGCGAAGTGCAAATGTAAAAAGGAGCATCATATTCGACCATATTCGAAATTCTTAATGAAAGAAATCAAAAATGTAAACAATTAAAGATGGATACTTTTTTCCGAAAAAATGTAAGAAATTCAAAACTAAAATTTTTAAATAAAAACATTTTACTTTATTTTATGATAAAATACATTTTAAAAGTTAAAAATTTATATGTATTTTGTATTATATTGTATTAATAAACAAAATTATTAGCTTATTTTTCACTTATGTAGAACCTAACCCTATACCTCACTATAAATACGGGTTCGTTTTACGCTGATTCGATTTGCGCCGGCTTTTGTAGGAATGGAACTGCGGTGTAAACCGAGGGCTACCTGTACTTCACAAAACTGGATAAGACACTACCACTATAGACACTGGTTGTTGGTGTATATACTGGAGAAATTTGTATTTTTCTCAAACATTTATTTATTTTATTCTTTCTTAACAAGTATCATCATCAGTCAGAATTCTCTTCTATATACACAATTATCCTTAATATAAATCCATAGACAAGATTTTTTAATATTGTCTGTTGAACACAGAGTATGGTTTTTTATTTCTATATTTCTATTTATTATTTTTCAAATTTACTTTATCTGTCATTCTTTTTTTTTCTTATCTTATGTGATATTTATGCTAAAAGAATATAGAATTTCATGCTTTGTACAATAATCTATCAGCATTGTTTCTCTAATAATTTCATTTTTTTTTTTGTAATCTGAATATTTTCACTGATCCTTGATAATTTATTTCTATTGCTGATATTTTCTTCTAAACTTTTCATGAATGTAAGAACGCTGATTGGGGGGAAAATCTTTTATTTCCCTACCGTCAGGATGGTCTAAGGTCTTTGTGTATGTGGTCTAGGCGGTTTTTAAAGGCTGCAAAGACAAGTGTTTCACAGAGGTAAACCGTTTATTCTGGGCGATAATGCTTACATAAAGTCTCTCGTCGGCAAGGTCCCATGTTGTTGGAAATTTTCGACGTCGGTGCTGGTCTTGCGTCGTCGGAGTTTTCGGCGGCGATCTGGTCTAGCGTCGTTGGGGCCCCTGGACAGTGTTGAGAGGAAAAAGTTCAAAGTCTCTAAAGTCGGTGCACAAAAAGAAGAACGGAGGTACAAAAATAAGTGGAGATATATGAACACAACAGAAGTCTAGGTGGGAGTCTTGGTGGAAGTCCTGTTGTCCTTGAATTTTGCATTTTTATAGGGTTTTTGTGATTGGCTTCTTACTAATTGGATAGATCTCACATCACTGTTTTCCAATTGGTCATCCACCTGTCTCCAGGTGTAAATAGAGCTTTGTAAAGCTCGTGGGAAAGGTCGGCTGGAGATGGTTTATCCGACACCATCTTTTCGAATCTGATCGCGTTTAATTGTTGACTATGACACCTATGCTTTTTGATATTTTTTTCTAGTTTCGTTTTGCTTTCTAAACTGCATCTTAACTTTAATATTTTAAATTTCCTTCTTTTATATCTAAAATTTTGTTTTTCCCGTTATTCCCTATGAGCGCTGACTTCAAAGTCCGGTATCGCCAATTCGATACTTATATTATTTGCTTTCTTGACGATTTAACTTAACAAACTTTTTTTTTTCTTATATCTTTTCCTTTTGCGGGGCCTATTTCCAGGGCCTCACATGAATATTTTATGCTTCATCTCCATAAAGTATAATGTTCTATTTTGGTGGTTTTCAACAAGGAGTACTGTACATATATTAGGCTCAAAGACCAAAAATGCTCACTGAGCGAAAAAATCTACCACAATGTGTTCTGACTTCCCAGATGCAGCCACAATGCAAATTTCGTGTCATGGGACTTTCAAAAAAATCCAGCAACAAGTTGCTTAACATTCTAGCAACATTTAAAACTGCATGTGACACCATCTGTTGTTATATTTTATTATTAAAAAAATTTCATATTTTTAATAATTATAAAATGGCAAAAATTTTGAGGATAGAGATGGTTTTTATAAAAATTTGTAAATACCAATAATGAGTAAAATCATCATTAAGTCATACCCTACTTGAGATATGACATTTGATCCCTTGAAAAATTTCAAAAATTTTTGACAAAAAGCACAGGAGTTAAGCTTCAAAGAGGGTGAAAATTATGCCCCCAACACACACAACATCCATACACAGAAAAAAAATTTTTTTTTGCAATTCTCAACATTCCAGATCCTGAGTCAAAAAATGTAGAAGTCTTGGGGGGGGGTCAATTTTTTGACTGATTGCCATACTTTCCCTCTGTTATAAATGACAGAGCTGGGAAAGTAAAATACAAACAATGCATTTTGGCATATTCAATAAGACCACAAAGCAAAATTTGTGTCAATATTTTTTTAATAATCAATCAAAATGCGATCTGGCAATGTGAAAATGCCACATGTTATAGATGCTTATTAATGCAGCCATGACAACAATATGATAAAAATAACTGTGCAAAAATAAGTAATAAATTTTTTTATTATTTTTAAAATAAAATCAAGTTCAAATCTAAATTGAGAATTATATCAAAAAAAGAACACTTAGAAATTTAAAGCTTAGACAAAGATTGACAAGACTAAGACTGAAACTTCTATTTATCATTATTTTTTACAAATAGTGTGAGATCCAGAATTTTAGTAACGAAAATTACGCTCTTTTATTAACAAAAAAAATTAATTTATTTACTTTCGTTTATGTAACGAATTAGAAAAAAATATCTTAGCTGGGAATGTGTAAACCTTCCTGTCATAACTATCAACATCTATTGTTCTCTGCAGAACTTGCAGCTCATCTTGCAGAAAAGTTTATAGTTAACATCCAACTTTTGTCACTTGTTTTAGGTCCCTGGAACACCTATAACCTTTAGCTCATGAACATCCGATCACGTGGTGGAAATTCCCCACAAAAAGCTATAAAAGACAGTTCTTACTCCCTCTCGGGAGAGTCTCTTAACGAATGCCGGACCGACGACATTGTGCCGATTCTCCGAACCCGCCGAATTCCGAATATGACAGAGCTGGGAAAGTAAAATACAAACAATGCATTTTGGCATATTTAATAAGACCACAAAGCAAAATTTGTGTCAATATTTTTTTAATAATCAATCAAAATGCGATCTGCCAAGGTCACGAACTTTTTAAATTTGTGCTCGCTGGATTAAAGACATTGTTTATTGGACAATTAAATATCTACACGGACTTACTCGTCATGGAACCTACAAAGAGGTATGAAAAGCGGGAAAACTCTCTCTCTCGAGAAATTAGGCGGTTTAGAAACGCTATTTGTGTAGTCTTTGTGTCCATTTGGCTTATTTTAATAAATTGTTGTTAGATTTGTTATAAAAGGTAGACTCCTTTACTCAATCACGCCCTTCACCTTATCATCGACCCCAAAATTCTCTCCCTCCACTCGCCTGACATTTGAGTCCCAACCAAAGGGACCGTTATCGTAAAACAAGCTATCCTGACAGTGAGCAGGTTTAACAACCTGTTGTCCATACAGGGAGAGTCGACGATTCCTGACCTCCCCTGCGGTTCACAATAGTAATATAAAAATTTGTTTGGAGTCAGTCTGTCTGTGGGAGTGTCATTATGAAAATAAATTTGCAATCAATTGACAAAGTGATTTACAAATAAATTTCTTATTTGACTTATAAATTTATACCTTTTTTTAGGTATCTAGGATTTTAAGATATCATATGTAGGTATCAAGAATTTATAAACAAAACAATTAACAGAAAATTGTTTTCTTGACTATGAATTATAAAATAAAATGAAGAGTTACATTTACTATACTATAGTTCTTTCAATCATATAATGTTTTGTGAAAAGAATTTTTACTGATTGATATTTTATAAACATTGTTGAGAATTAGTCCTTTGGTTAAAATCTATATATATATATATATATATAAAATGACTTGTCCTAACTGATTCACTGATTGATTCATCATCGACCAGGGCAAACTGTTGAACCTAAAGAGGTAAAATTTGATACACAGTTAGGGTATGTCATGGAAACGCACACTAAAAAGGGATTTTTCAAAATTCCCCTCAGGGGGAGAGAGAGAGCATTAAGGCTAAACTGGAAGAACGGCTTCTACTGTACTATTTTAGATGCTATTTGTTATTTTTACGTTTAGTCTTCATTGAGTACTTAAGTGTATTAAATTGATAACATTTCAGGCATTGTTATAAATATTTTTATATACAGGATTAAGTAACAGGATTAGAGGGCTGTTTGTGTCTTTTTTTGCAACAAACTTAACTCTTTTATGAAGTAGGAAAGAAGGAATGAGGAAAGTAAGACAAGGTAGAAGGAGAAACAAAGGGAGATAGGAAAGTGTGAATAAGAGAGCAGTCAGGGAGTCCCCATGGGACCCACGAGCATCTGCATTGGCTCAATTTATTTACTAATTGACAAAATACAGAAAAGTACAGAATAACATATATGTACAATGAGAACATGTGAACGCGAAGTCATTGCTACTTGCAATGCAAACCGCGTATACAATCCCGACTTGGGACTAAGTATGTAGACTTATATCAGTTGCTAGCAGCACAAATGATGATAAATAGATACAGTTATTATAATAATTGTCACTGGTTGTTGTCACTAATAATTGTCACTGCTGTCACTGTTGCTGCCATATTCGTTGTTGTTCCCTTGTGTGTCCGAGTCTTCTGAATCTTCGTGTGTAATAGTTTGTTGGTTTGAATCATTGTTTTGAAGTTTTATAGTTCTGTGATGGTCGGGTAACAATGCTTTAGTTTTTATAATAAAATCTTCCAGTTTTTCCCAGACTTCTTTTCTGTTGAAGATGTCCTGGGCTTTGGGTTTCCAGCCAATTCCTTGTAGTATACATTCACTATAAAAGGGTATCCTATATTGTTCGTGAGTACCGCAATCGAAGATGAAGTGATTGGCATCACCCTCGCTAACACCATCACAATGACACTTCCCGTTTAATGTCTTCTTAAACCTACAGAGGTAAGCAGAGAAGTTTCCATGGTTCGTTAAAACCTGAGTAGTCTCATGTTTAATTTTATAATGTTTGTTATTTAATCTGTCTTTGATTGAAGGAATAAAGTTGAAACAGTGTCTCCCGGTGGTTGAAGTTTCCCACTCTCTTTGCCATGTACTAATTTCCTATTGTCTTAGATAGTACAGTCGACCCCCTATAACACTATTGATAAATTCCGTTTTATATGAATTCCATGTTGTACGAGTCACTTAGTATACCCATGTTGTACGAGTCACCTAGTATACCCATGTTGTACAAATACGTGAACCGTTCACAGCTCGGCACACATATTTATAAAATCTAAGTGACTCGTACATCATGGAATTCATATAAAACGGAATTATCAACAGTGCTATAGGGGGGTCGACTGTATTTAGGTGCAGAGTTCGGAAGTCTGTTGTATGTAATTTTAGAATCGGAGTTGCAGGCACGTTTCGCTAAGAGGTCAGCGATCTCATTTCCCTCATTGCCTTGGTGCGCTGGGATCCAATTGAATTTTAGGACTTTATTAGTTGCCACTTTATGGGCTTTCTTGATCATTTCTCTGCCAAGTAGGGATATGTTCATGTCTTTTTTCAGTGTGTGCAGTGCCGTTCTACTGTCGACAAAGAACTTTATGTTTCCATTATATTTTTCCTGATTTTCCTTTATGTGTTTTAGTGCACTGTAGATCGCCCAGTATTCTGCTTGGGTATTTGAGCAGTGTTTAGCTATTTTGAGGCTGGCCTGATAGCCAATGTTGTTAGTTCCTTGTTTTTTAATGTATATACCTGCTCCTGCACCTTCTGTTTGTTTGGATCCATCAGTAAACACTATCCACTGAAATCTGTTGTTATCTTTATTATCATAATCAAGATCTACTCTGTACAAGTTCTTTTCCGCAGGGTGTATATCAACATTTATACTGTTGTCTATTTTATCGATTTCTGTATTATTTATAATCTCAGGGACTTTTGTAATATTTTTAGGTATAATTTTATTTTTTATTTTAATTTTCTTTAATTTCCTTTTAATTTCTTCTGATGTCAATTCCCATATCTTTTCATTCTTAGCAATCCAGCTCCATGCTGACGAAATTGCTGTAATGTGTATCGCTGTAATTGCTGTAATGTGAAATTGCTGTAATTTTGTGAAGGTGGCAACACTTAATCTGTATTCGTTCGAAACATGTGCGTTTAAACTCGTGAGTGGTGATTGTGTAAATAAGAAGGTAAATTTACAAGCATTTTTGTTAAAAAGTATGAATACTCCATTAACAAATGGAAATAATATAACTTCACTAACAGAAAGTATTAATCATATAATGATTAAACAGAAAATAATTCAAACAGATAAAGTTATTAAACAATATAGTTTCAAGTGCAAAGAAAATGAAGTTCAGAAGAGAAAATTGGATAGTATGGATGAATTATTGGAACAGCTTCGTAAAGACTGTACAAAATATGAAAATGAACTAAGTCAAGTCTTACAGGAATTAGAACCTCTTAAAAGTAAGTGGACCGCTTTGAAAGATGAAAACAGCAAACAAGTAGAAAGTATAAAATTGCTGGAAGAGAAACTATCGTCTACAGATAAATTAGTGAAAGAATATAATTCTCAGCTAAGGATTAGAAGAGAAGAACGTTCAGAGCAAGCGCGCAAAAAAAACAGAGACATTAGAAAAAGAAAATGAAAGGAAACAAAAAGAAATAGAAACAGCTAAAGAAAGATTACAAAAAAAGAAAATTTCTACTTGTAAACTAAGCAAGAAATATAAAATAGCCTTAAAACATTTATTAAGATTTGGCATGATGCTTAAGAAACAAAATTTGTTAAGCCAGTTCGATACAAAAGTCCTTCACAATTCTTACGAAACATATATGAATAGTGATTTTGATATGTTAGATTTTAAGTCATCTGATGAGACAGAGGACAAAGATGCTGCAATAAGTAATAATGATGAAGTTAAAGATGATTTCTCTAATTCTTTGTTAGAAAGTGATGATGAAATGATAGATGTTCCTGAAGATGAACATTTAGGTAAAAAAGTAGAAAAATGTATTTCACCAGTGAGTTTCTAATTTTTCTAGTATATTCTTCATTATACATTTGTAATAATCATATAAAACTTGAAGACATTCTATTATGTAATATATTTATCTTCTTGAAATTCTTTATTCACATTTCTAGAAGTTTACTGCTTCTACTGAAGAAACTTCCACAAACTTATCTTCAATATCATTAAAATTTATCAAATTTTTTTTTGACACTTCCATATCAGCTTCTTACTTCAAGTTACATCAAACATAACTGTTTTATAATTATATGACTATCTTCATCTTCATCAGTAAGCATTAGAATAATTTCTCTAGCATAGGAGTGGGCAATTATTTTTTCGAAAGGCCAAATGAGAAGAAACCTGAGCAGCCAAATCAACAATAATCTGAACTTAACTATATTCAGTTATAATTTTCTCCAATTGTAAAGAGCAGTAAATAATATATTTTTGATTATGCTACTGGTAATCAAAAGACTAAGGGTATTCTCGTGTGATTCCCGCTATAGCTAATAGTGCATATGACGGCAATGTTCTATATGCCTTCGTGATTTTTATTGTTGCCATCCTTTGGACCGACATCAATTTTTTCTGTATGTGGGTGGTGTTAACGGCATCCTGCCACACGGGAACAGCATACAAAATTGCTGGTTCAATAGCAGTCTTATAAATAAGTTTACAGTTTTTCGGATTCAGTCCCCAATATTTTCCCATTATCCAATTGATTTGATTGACTCTTTGCTTGGTTTTGTTAGTGATTTCTTGGATATGGAAATGCCAACTTAAATTGGGGTCCAAATATACTCCCAGATATTTTAGAGTCTTTACTTGTTTGATCTTTTTTCCATTCATTCTTAATTTAAGGGTTTTCTGCAATTGCCCGCGCTTATTTTTTCTTGTGCACACCAATGCTTGGCACTTGTTGTAATTGATTGATAGTTGATGTTGGTTACTCCATTGTTGAATTTCGTCTAATATTTTGTTGGCCATATTCGTAAGATGATCACGATTCTGATTCTGTATCATAACCATCAGGTCATCTGCAAATGCCTGGATTGTCATATTATTTCTGTTGTCAAATTTTTGAAGCAGATTGTCAAAGACTAAATTCCACAGGGACGGTCCAGTGCGCGAGCCCTGTGGGCAGCCTCTATTAATATCCTTAATAAGGTGAATGTTGTTTGAGTGGAATTCAATATGCCTATTTTGCAGATAACATTTAAGTAATTTCACTTCATATTTAGTATCTTGGAGTTCATCAAGTTTATCGATAATATCTTGCCATCTGAGATTGTTGAATGCTTTGGAGTAATCAATAGAAATGAGTAATGCATGTTTGTTCTTTTCCCAGGCATCATAAACAAACTTTTTAACATTAATTATTGCATGCGTTGTCGATTTGTTTGACCTAAAGCCAAATTGGTTGGCATGCATTTTACCTTTGCTATTCAATTCCCAGTTGACCCTTCTAATAATTAAGCCTTCCAAAGCCTTCCCCATTGGGAGAAGGCTGATAGGCCTGTAGTCCGAGGCTGATTTCGGATCTTCCTTTTTCATAATTAGCTTAATGTTGGCCGATTTCCATGCATACGGAAAATAACCTTTTTTTAGACATTCATTATATAAGATAGAAAAAACCATTGGGATTTCCATAAATGCGTTGATCAGCATTTCAGTAGTTATTTCATCCAGCCCTGGGGCCTTCTTTTTGCCCATTGTAAAGATAGCTTCCTGTATTTCTATGAAGGTGAAAAGTTTACATTGTATTCCCAGGTCCTGATCTTCTTCGTTATTTCCGTTTATTTGGGTATTTCTCATTCTTCCATTGCTATTAATACTATCCATTGGAAAGTGGTATTCCAGTAGTTTCCTGATGTTGTGCTCTATATTGTAAGTTTCTTCTTCGTTTGTGTTCTCCGTCCAGTTTAAGATGTGTGGTAAATGGAATTTTTTCTTTTTCTTTAGTACTGTTTTATGGGGAAGTTCCCAAGGGCCTTTATCGTTACACTTGTCACAAAAATCTCGCCATGCCTGTGTTCGTGTTGTATTTATCTTCTTTTTGTATTTTTTCAACTGATCCTTATATTTATCTTTTAAGATACTTTTGTGTTCTTCGTTTCTCGCTCTGTGATATTTTTTTCTCAATCTATTCGTGCTTTTCCTTTGTCTTTCTAACTCTTCTGTCCACCAATGGGTTGTTCCCTTGATTTGTTTTGTTGTTGTCGTACTGGCCCTTATAGCTGCAGCTTGTATATCTGTGGTTAAGAATTCACTGTAACGATCAATGTCTTTAATGGTGTTTATCCTTGGGTAATCATGGTTACTGCAATTTTCTTGAATGCTTTTCTGAAGAGTTCCCAGTTTATATATTTCTTGTTAGAAGTGGTACGATCAGTATATATATCCAAATTGTCAATTTGTGTAAATAAGTATCTATGGTCACTACCAGTATTGCTCAATAATGTTTCACAGTTTGTAATGTACTGGACAAGATCCTCCGTGACTAGACACACATCTGTCCAACCCTTTGCATTTGTTGTGTAGAAAGTTGGATGATCCGTTATATTTGTTGATATAAATCCAAATTCCTCCATCATCTCCATTACCATCACACCTCTTTTGTCTTCTTTTGTATTAAACCAAATACCAGACTTAGCGTTTAGATCTCCCGCTAAAATAATGTATTTACTGTTGATGCTTCTTAGTGTTTTGCTCAATTCAGTCATCGCTTGCTTGTCATTCATATTTGGTGATAAGTATGCATTGATAATTATTTTTATATACAGTAATACCTCGACTTATGCTACCCCGACTTACGCGAACCCGGAGTTATGCGATTTTCAAATCTCGCTGATTCGTCTTTTGTTTGAGTGCCATGCAACTCTTGATTACTCACTTCTCCCATACTATTGTTCAGCTTACATGTTTGGACATGTCGCACGGAATTGACACATAGCTACAATTTATTTTGTGTTATTTATTTCTGTGTTTGTTATATCTACGGAGACTTGAGAGACTGTATGTGGTGATTTCTTATAACCATGAATGAATCAAAAGACGAGATAAGATTAACGAGAACATTTATTAGCTTACATACATTCGACTTGGATTTTACACAAATTACGAAATTTGACTTACGCGAATTCGACTTACGCGGTTATCGATTGGTCCCACCTATTGCGTAAGTTCGGGGTATTACTGTAATTCAAATTTTTAACCAAATATTCAAACCGTTTTAAATTCAAATTTGTTATTGCATATTGGTTTGATTATAGAACGATTGTAAACATTCCAGAAAATTGATCAAATTGAAAATAGTTCATTTGATTTTTAGCAATTCTCATCATTCTCAGCAGTAGGTGTTATATCTATACATAAAAAAATCTATACAAAAATAAGTAACAAATTTTTGCTGAGATATTTTTAATAAATAATTTATCACATTGCATCATGGCTGTATTAATAAGTGTCTATAACCAGGGTGGCCAAGCTCCTTGATAGTCCGAGCCATTTTTCAAAATTTGAAATTTTTGCAAGCCGCAATTAAATATGTATTAAAAAGGTATGCAAAAAAGGTATTAAAAAATTTTTTTACAGAAATTATATTTATTGAAAACATATAAATAAAAGTACAAAATATGTGTATTGAATTTAAATATTAAAAATTAAACACATTTATTTTACTTCTTTTGATAATTCTTTAAAATTTGGTGAATAATTGGTGACAGCACTTCTCAGTAATTCTTTCAGATGCTGGTTAGTTAATACNCTTGATTGCTAAAGGTCGTCAAAATTGACTGTTGTTTATTTAAATTTGATTTTAAAGAAGCAAGTTTATCTAATGTTAATTTGGAATTTGGTGGATACTGATTAGAAAACTGAAGATGATTGGTTTCATAATGTCGACGTAAATTGCTAGCTTTATAATTTTTGACCGTAGAATTACAAATAACACATAATGCTTTTCTGTTATTGTCAACAAAAAAGAAATTCTTCTCCCACTCATTATTAAAACTTCTATTTTCTTGCTCATATTTTCTTTTTTTATTTTCGTTCTCTGTCGTCATTTTTTGAAAAGAACTGGAAATAAATAAAGAAATTTAGAAAATACAAGTTTTGTGTTATTAAAACAATAACAACACGTGTTACATATTACGAAACAAATTATAGTTAACTTACCAAAAATTCCAGATTACAAATTATATCCGTAGCAAGAGTGATACAAATTGTTTCCTCCAGAGCACAATGTCAACTTTCCGTTGCAATGACAGTTTACAAATTCAAAATCGGTCTGAAGTCGGTCGATAATGGACGATTACGCCACTGTTTATGTTCGTTTGTGCAGTTTTCAATGAGTCATATCATTCTTAACTCGGACGGAAATGAAATTTGTTACAACATTGCACTTAGTCTTTCATATTTGTTGTTAGTAATTTAAAAGACATTTTGAAACACATACGGAACGATAATAATTTAAAAAAATATAATAACACGAAAATGAAAAGGGAACTCGGGTACATTTATCAAGAGCCACAAATAATCCTTCAAAGAGCCGCATGTGGCTCACGAGCCACAGGTTGGCCACCCCTGGTCTATAACATGTGGCATTTTCACATTACCAGATCACATTTTGATTGACCATTAAAAGAATATCAATATGAATTTCACTTTGTGGTCTTTATTGAATACACCAAAATGCATAGTTTATTTTTGAGAGTGCTACAACACAAAATTTGCATTATGGTGGATTTATCAAGTCAGAACATATTGTTATAGATTTTTTTGGTCTTTGAGCCTAACATTGCAAGAACTTCTTGTTATCCTCTAGAAAATGTCTTGCAGGTCTTACATTCCTCAGAATGTGAGACACTTTCTGTAGAATAACATTTTATTTTTTTTGATGACCATTATAAATCTTTTTCATCTTGTTTATTGAGAACCAAGACTTAAACATGACATTTTAATAATCTTAATAAAAATATACTACCATATTTTTCTGGCATATTGGTCTATCTGGGGAGACCATGAAATTGGATTTTCTGTATGGTAAAACCTGGCATGCTGGTTTAAGTGAAGTTAAACATCCCTCTCCAGAGGGTGTGTGAAACTC